ACGAAGCTCGACTAATCGTGCACCATAGTCCTACCTTAATTTTATTCTGTTTAATATAAAAAAGGAGAGATAATTATATCAGTTAACCTATTTTTTGTGTTCCCACAGTTGTTGTACAGTTTTTACCCAACACTGCGGTAGCCGCTTATCGTCCTATGGACAACTTGGTATGCAGAACCGGATTTAGAGGTCTAGAGGCCCTGGTGCAATGAAGGAAGTATATAATTATAATTATCTGTTAATTAAATTAAATATAAAAATAAATAGGACGTTTTGAATTAATAAGTTCTAAAGTTAAACATAAACTTCCTGTATTCTTAATGTTATATTGTCGTGCCCTACCATCCATCTAATCATTGTAACACCATTAATGTACTTATGGAGACCAATAAAGATGATTGATTGAAGGTGTAGGGGCGGGCCACATACGATTTGCATTCCCCAAAATCCCAGATGGGGTGCTAGAACACTGGCAGCAATACACCCAGTCCTGGAGGAGTGGGTGGGTCGACGGTTTGGGTCGCTGACTCTTCGGCTGGTGCAGGTGCCGTCGGGGTACGAGTGCTTTGGATAATACGATCCTAACACTCACTGGTGAGGTCGCGGAAGTATTCTTACGGGTTCCCGTGGCATCATGCAGTCAACATCATCATCATCAGCCTATTAATGTCCCCACTGCTGGGGCACAGGTCTTCCCAATGGATGGAATAGGGAGATTGGGCCATGACCCACCACGCGGGCCCAGTGCGGATTGGCGGGTGCTAACGACTGCAGATGCAGCCGGGACCAACGGCTTAACGTGCCTTCCAAAGCACGGAGGAACTCGAGATAGAAGATTTTTGGTCACCCATCCAATGACCGACGACTACGAAAGTTGCTTAACTTCAACGATAGCAGCCGAACGCGCCATTGAGCTCCTCAATCACGCAGTGCCTTTGCCAAAAAAAACTTACTCCTAATCGCCTAACAAAAGTGCATCAAAAAACGTCGCGATGTGTTACACCGATAATAGGAGGACAGAGGAGCTCAATGGTGCAAGTGGTTGGCGCGTTCGGCTGCGATAGTTGAAGTTAAGCAATCATTTGTCCAAATGAACACGTTATCGTCGTGGCAGTAAGGTTTGATGTTAATTTCATACGAGAGAGAGAGCGTCAAGTCGATTACCGCGCGGGAAAGACACATGATCACAAGGCGAACACTGGGATAGATTTATATAATTGTAGGTATTAAAATGTGAAAGGCCAAGATTGTTGCGTAATAATTAGTTTAAAGGAAACTTATAAGTAGTGGTATGTAACTCTAGCGCTGATCGTTATTGCGCGCGCGTAAAAATGTGCGAAAAACGAGGTGCGCGGGTGGGCGTGCGTTGCGTCGATTGTCTCTTCAGTCGTAACCAGGCGCAGCTACGCGTTTTGTTTACTTAATAGTAGGGGAGCCCAAAAGGGAATTTTTGGATTTACTCGAGCGCGGCAGAATAACATATGGAGCAACCTTGCACGTACTTAAGTACTCCCACCATACCAGGGGGCCAATCGTCTAACGGAAATGCTTAGGAAAACGCTAACGCTTACGACTTTATTTTGTTATTTCTAGCCGCCTGAGGTATTCAAATGCCTCGCGCTCTTTCTTTTTCTTTTGCATTGGTAATAACAATATTAAAAAAAATTAGCGTGAGGTATCCGAAAACCTCAGGCGGCTAGAAATAACAATATAAAATCCTAAGCGTTAGCGTTTCCCAAAGCATTTCCGTTAGGCGTATGGCCCCCAGAGCCCGGTATGTACGGCTGATCGTCTAGGGCAGCAAAAACAAAATTTCAACGAACGGTCATGACTTTTGGTCGCACCCAAATCGTCAGTCTTTTGAATATAAGCTACTAGAGGGTTCATGTAACGTTTCTAAGAACGGATAAAATATTGATCTACCGCGGTGTGCATGATATGGGGGTGGCCGTACGAAGGGGTAGAATATAGGAAAAAATAACCGAGCGCGTCAGACATTGAGAAGGGTTGTTATGTGAACCCTCCAGTAGATCCTATTCAAAAGACTCACGATTTGGACCCGACCAAAAGTTATGGTCGTTTGTTGAAATTTTGTTTTTGCTGCCCTAGACGTTCGGCCCTACATAGATGGCTCAGGTATAGTGGGCGTACTTAACTACGTGCAAGGTTGCTCCCCATATGTTATTCTGCCGCGCTCGAGTAAATCCAAAAATCCCCGCATGGGCTCCCCTACTATAAGGAATACACACTCAACACCTACACACATACACTCACAACCACACACACACACATACCTGCATGAATTTCTGTTAATGTAGTTTGGTATTAAATAAATAAACGCTAACATCTGCGACACAGTCTTCGACTACTGCGGATGTTAACGCTGTGTTTATGTACAAATGTTTCGTGTTTCAATAAAGATTTTTATTTTTATTTAATAAAGCAGTAATGGATTACTAAATAGCTTAGTGATTATCACTTCCACTCACGATTTTCAGTCTACTTGTTTTTATACGTGTTATAATTGTATGTTTTCCAAGGTAGTATGTAAATAATAAATAATAATAAATATTGCCAACAATCACACCAATTAGCCTAGCCCCAAAGTAAGCACTATAAGGCTTGTGTTATGGGATACTAGGGTAACGGATAGAATATATATACTGTACATATATAAGTATATTTATATAGAATTACATATTAAACATCCATGACCGGAGTACAAATGCTCGTATTCATCACACAAACATCTGCCCCCACCGAGATTCGAACCCGGGACCTCTCGAGTCGGCGACACCATGAAACCCGGCGTACAAACCACTCGTCGTCATGTCCAGACAATATGTTCTGCACGAGGTAGTCGTTTTGTCCGTCTGCGTAACAAGCAGCGCGCGAAGTGCGACGCGCAGAGAGGGTAAAATCAAAATCGTTTATTCAGTCTTGGCTGTTACAAGCACTTGTGAATGACGAAAAGCTACGCCATCGGTTCGCAAATCTACGGCGAGAGACCTTGTACTGAGAAGAACCGGCAAAAAACTTAGCAAGAGCTGTTATTTTTGCCTGCCTGTTTTATATACAGAGTCGTCAAATAGAAGAATGACTTCAATATGAGGAGTGTGCTGCCTCCTACTGTTAAGGCATAAAAAAATGTACGATTAAAGTTAAATACAACGATGAATAGTACCCAATGCAGTAAGAGCAGACTCATCTCCGCTGGCAGCACCCGTTCACGAGCATGACGCATGAACCAGCCATCGCTTCGCTCAACCATTTTTTAGGGATCGCAACAACCCGCCTCACACGACACCACCGAAGAGATTTTTAAGTGAACATGACTTCTCATAACCACATATGGATACTATGTTACAAAAATAGAAAAAAAATATAATATCTACCAGTGTACATTATTATAACAAACTGTAAACACAACGGTAGGCGATTACCTAAACACTGGTGTCGATTCTGCACTACTCTCCAAACCCAAATCCAACATCAGCCCCCCCCCCCCCCCCTCACTCTGTATAGAGAATGACAAGGATACACCGCTGCAAAACCAAAGTTCAGGTCTAGAAAACCATGTCAGAATCCAGGCATTGTATTTAACAGCCACAATATATTATTTTACTGGGGACAAAGCTATTCGTTACTCCGATAGCAATCAATTCAGCAGCTTCTGGTGAAATCATCATTAGTTATAAAAATCTAAGACCAACATTTTTAATTAAAATTATATTATTTTTAACTACACTAGAGACAGAGGTTTCTATTCTCTATGTACATCTTTCTCTCTATGTTAAATAAAACAAGTTTTAACGAGTTACATGCACTGATTTTATTTACCAACCCGTCGAAACTTGTTTTATTTAATGAGTGATGTGCGTGGAAATCTAAGAAACAAATAGTATTATGTTATTTGGCGTCTGTATAAAGCGCTTATTCCACCTGTCTAAATTCAGACGTTATAAATCATTCAGTTGATGTCGATTCTGACATGATTCTCTAAAGCTAAACTTAATTTTGACAACAGTGCATCCTTGTCATTCTCAATACAGAATGAAAAGGAGAGACTGATGTTAAATTTAGTTTTAAGTTTAGAGAATCACGCTAGAATCGACATCATTAACTAATTCAGTCAAGTGAAATAGCGTTTAGGAAGTTAGAATCCTAATTGGCATCCTAAATCGGAAGAAGTGTGGCTTCTGACTGACTAAATCATTTAGTATCCTAATTAGCTATTTAGGAAGGTGTAATAGCGTTTAGATGCTTCAGTCGCATCGCAGGTGTCACTGCGAGAGGACTTGTGTCTACGATTACGAATTACGCGAGTGTGTGATGTCTGCGGTAAAAGAAAAAGAAGTTATGAGTAACATAATCGAATTGTATAAACATATGCCGTATCTTTGGAACAACAATAATAAAAATAACATTAATATTCTTTCACCCACGTTTTTCGTTTTTTACTTTATTTTTATTGAGCCAACGGCCAGGCCTACGATTTTTTGTTGCTTTGACAGGACTGGAGCTATTACGAAAAAATCCGACTGAATACTTACTGAATAGGGATGATGACTAATTTTTTTTCTTCGTTTATCAGGTAGATTATCAAAAAGTATTGGACACGTATTTTTTCTTTTTTCACATAATATAAACATTGCAGAGATATATTGATTTGAAAAGTCGCATGACATCACTTTTGAGTACACTAATAAGTGAAAATTCACTCAAGTGACGTCACGAGCCCCTACTCCCAAACTTTGACGCGCTAGAACTTTGTCATTTTTTGGTTGATTGCCCAAAGAAAATATACGTGTCCATTATTTTTTGATCATCTAATTGACGGACTAAATAGAATTTCGTTTACTGTACCCCGTCATCACCCCTATTCGCCGCGCGCTTGTAACTGACTGAATCAGTAACTAAATTCAAGTGTAATCAGAAGCTTCTAATTAGCCTTCTTTTTAGGATCCTAACTAGGACGTCTGAATTTAGTCAGGTGGAATAAGCGCTTAATCAGTTCACAACTAATTTTGGTACCAATATGTTAAAGGGAGATTTTGAACAATATTAATAACAATGAAACACAAAGTAGTAATATAATTATATTTATTTTTTAAAATAGGTAATTATTGACGTAAGTGAAAAACCTAGCGATTTACAAACTAGCACTGGATGTTAGAAGCAGGCGTTATTTAATAAAGTTACATTATGCATACTGGCAATCACACCCCGGAATTGTGACAATGTTTTAAAAACTATAACATCAAAGTTACGTAAGCAATAATTCATAATACTTGATGCAACATAACCTTTATTACGAATAGTATAAGGTTCAGTTTTCGATAAACTAAATAGTTAAAATAATGGATGGACCAGGGATATGCAACAACATTCAGGCACATCAGGCATTCCTCAGTCATATCTTCATAATAAGTCCGATCCAACACTGCCATTACAAAACCACATATCTTAAAAATGTTACACCATTTAATATTCTTGTAAACTCGCTTTAAATTATTTATTTATTGTTGTTTTTTGAATGTAAATCTAGAATTTATATGTAGTGTGATGTTCGAAAACCTCCAAAATTAAAGTAAAACACATATTACTCAATGGGATATATCCCCGTATACCTTTACTGGTCAAATATAAAATGTTAGATGCAAGTTAACGACGTCTAACTGACAGAGAAAAATAATCTATTGTCGGTCCATCAGTTAATCTAGCAAGAGATCCTCAAATCAAAGAAACAGCGAGTTAAATAAAACGAAAGTCTTCTATGATAAAATTTGCCGTTTAGAGAAAAACTACATTCATTACAGATGAATCCTTCAAGGTCAGTTCATAACACTTTTAAGACAGCTATACAAAACTGAACCATATTTACAAGACAAAAAGATACACATTTCCTTGAGAGAATTCTAAAATGTCCTGCAGAAACGCCACGCAATAAAAAAAGTATCTTATTGTGTTGTTAATAAAGTTTTTTTTTATAGCTATCTTAAGAACTCTCAATACAAGCTGTCCATAAAGGCCTACGCAGACCGGGACGGCATGGCAAGGGATTTAAATTTTTACTAATGGACATTCAACCGTACTGTTACAGAAATACGACATAAATTGCTATGCTTTAAAATGATGCCGTGGCATTGAAAGGGATTTCATCGCACGGCATTAAAAGACGTGCCACAGGCTCCCGTGGCGAGATGCCATGGCATACTGCGGTAGGCAACGGCATGCCACGGACTCCGGCGCTCGTAGTGATATACTGCGGGGGTAGAGAAGCGGGGAATTCACCCTTTGATTCCCTTTCTTTCCATAGATTACCAACCCAAAATATTCTTCTATCCCTATTATCAGCATATGCACCTACTTCTTCATCTGCAATAATCGATATCAACACCAAATCGCTGAAGCGTGCTTTGTCGTGCCGCGGCATGCCGTGGCATAGTGCTGGAATGCCGCGGTATCTAAGCGGCCAGTGTGCGCTGACTCACGGCAAAATCCCTTGCCATGCCGTCCCGGGGGCAATTCGCCTAATGGAAATGCTTTGGAAAACGCTAACGCTTTCGATTTTATTTTGTTATTTCTAACCGCCGAAGTTTTTCAAATACCTCACACTCATTTTTTTTTAATATTGTTATTACCAACGCAAAAGAAAAAAAAGAGCGCGAGACATTTGAAAACCTCAGGCGGCTAGAAATAACAAAATGAAATCGTAAGCGTTAGCGTTTTCCAAAGCATTTACGTTAGGCGAATGGCCCTCCGGTCTGCGTAAGCCTTAAGTGTGTAGTTACTTCCTACTTGCAAAACAGCTATCTAATTGTCTGTATAAAATACGTTTTTTTTAATATTAATCTAATTCCCCGGCGTTGCAGGCGTCCTCGTAACTCTTGCCGCGTTGTTCGGGGTCCAGTTTGATCATGTCGTCGATACGGAGGATGGTGATGGCGGCTTCGGTGGCGAATTTGAGAGATTTGATCTTGGATATGGCCGGCTCTAGTACTCCGGCCGCGAGGTTGTCGCGTAGTGTGCCCTCTGTTAAGTCCAAACCTACCCATTTCAGGTTTGCGTGCTCAACCTACGGATGAAACATAGATTTTTTTGATTTTATTATTTTATTTAATATGTAATATTATAGGTTAGGATCCCAGGAGGAGCTCGATGGCGCAGGTGGCTAGCGCGTTCGGCTGCGATCGTTGAAGTTAAGCAACTTTCGCAGTGGTCGGTCATTGGATGAGTGACCAAAAATTTACTATCTCGAGCTCCTCCGTGCTTCGGAAGGCACGTTAAGCCGTTGGTCCCATGTCATTAGCAGTCAGTTGGTGCATCTGCAGTCGTTAGCACCCACCAATCCGCACTGGGCCTGCGTGGTGGGTCATGGCCCAATCTCCCTATTCCATCCATAGGGAAGGCCTGTGCCCCAGCAGTGGGGACATTAATAGGCTGATGATGATGATTATAGGTTAAAATTCAATCCTAAAAATTGTATTTGTTAGATCATAATTATGAATGACGTCAACACTTATAATTGTCGTGTTTACAAGTAAACAACCAATATGAAATATGTATATCCCTGTATGATTAACGCAATGTGAGTGTTTGTTAATAAACAATAAATAAATAAATTACGACGAAGAATTATCCAGTCTGATGGAAGCAAACTTTCTTTAGATTTAAACATCTAGCAGGTACATGCTTTAAGTATACATATACAGTGGTGGTCACATTATTAAAGACACTCCCTAATTGACAACAATAAACTTACTTATGGTACTAACATTAGCTAAAATTGGTATTTAATCCAGTGTAATTGTTATTAAACCATACACGACGTTGTATTCTTATAATGTGGGACAATAAATAGTTGTGTTCGTTAATGGTTTAGACACTGCTCACTATGGGAACGTAACACAAAGTTTTTAACGTACTTGTAGCTAGCCAGCTAGTTACAGACAGTAAAAGCTGTGTTCTGAATTTTAAAAAAATAATGCAGCCTGCATTCTGTTTTTCTTTGTTTTGCCGCGTATTTTAATGAAACGTCGATATTACATATAATACCTAATTTTTTAATTAAAATTAATACGTTTTAAACCCAGCAATATGGGAAAAAACAAGAGTTGCGATTCGTCCACTACGAAGATTATTTTCAACTTTTATAATAAAGATTTTTTTTTATTTTCCCCTTTATTTAAAGGACTTTTATCTTTACAGACATGTCAATCCCATCGTGTACTTATATAAATTAACAAATCATCTAAGCCAATTAACCTAATATGTTATTGTCGGAAGAAAGTCGCGGCAGACTTTGGTCATACAGAAACATAGCAAACCACGAACTGTTGTAAGTTTTTTGTTGTCAATTAGGGAGTGTCTTTAATTATGTGACCACCACTGTATATATATATATATATATTTTAATTTTGTAAAAAATCCTATGACAAAAACTACGCATTCTGTACACCGAAACAAGTAATGTTACAAAATATTATACGGGGGAATCATTTGTATATTTAAGTTAAAAAAAAAATGGGTGCGTGTACTTATGTAGGCGCGTGAGAAGTTATCCTTCTTTGGCATCGTTTAAAATTAGTTTTTAATTGCATGCAAATAATTAATTACAATAAATTAATAAAAAGTCTGGAAAAGGACACAGTCAATAAAGTTCAGTTTTAATTTGAAAAAATAAATAAATAATCAAAATATTCAATTAAAATCGCTACTGAATATAATTTATTAGAACATATGTGATTTGCACTTGTATGAAACTCAAACACGTATTCCGAATATACAAACTAGAAACATGTGGATAAATATTATAAATATGAATACCTATAACTGTTACTTTATTACAAAAAATAAAGATGTGGTTTTTGGTTCTACTACACCAATGGTCAAGAGATGGCGCTGTAGTCTCCTGAATCGCGCTTTGGTTCCGTTGTTCCAGATTAATAAATACTTTTGATAGGCCTTCACAATGCAGTCGTTAGCACCCACTAAATAGAGATTCTATTTCTATTTTGTTGGTAGATTTTCTTAATGTGCGGTAAACACAAAAGTAACAGCATGAAGTTGGTCGCTTTAGCTTTGTGTTACAGTGATGCGCGCGCATCTTAAAATTTCACTCTCATCATTTTTTCATAACGCGCCTAAAGAAGTATAACTTCAAAAATACAATTTTTTTCCTGTACGCAATATATAGCGCGGCGCGCTACTATGGCGCTACGCAAAGAATGTTCCTGTGTATATGTGTGTACGTGTGTGTGAGTGCGTCGAATAAAACGATTCTTAATAACTTTTTGAAATTATTAATGTAAAAATATTGAAAAAAAAAAAATTTGTGACTGACTTTCAATATCTCTATAACCATAAATTTTCCAGGTATGGTGCAGAAGAAAAAAACCATCGTCATGATGTTGAAAATACGTGGCCTTCAACTTCGTTAAAAGATTTTTTACACCCTGTATATATATAACTATATGGAAACTTTTTGCGCTAAGCCAGACAACGGAGCTTGTAAAGATACATTCAAAATAAATAAATATTTCCGACACTCACACCAATTAGCCTAGCCCCAGAGTAAGCACTATAAGGCTTGTGTTATGGGATGCTAGGGTAACGGATAGAATACATATACTGATAAGTATATTTATATAAATACATATTAAACATCCATGACTGGAGTACAAACGCTCGTATTCATCACACAAACATCTGCCCCCACCGGGATTCGAACCCGGGACCTCTCCAGTCGGCGACAGCCATGAAACCCGGCGTACAAACCACTCGGCCACGGAGGTCGTCAAAAACATGTGCTGCGTAAGTTTATATGTCTATAGAAGTTGCCGCTACACTCATTTGGGCAGAGTTAATATTATTTTCTGGTAAATTATATTTAGTTATATACATTAGTAATATTTTTTTAACTAGCATTTGCTAATTCGCGCGTATCAACTAAAATACGGCTAACGTATAATAATAATATCACATTAGTGATTGTAGAACAAACATAAAAATTCAAAACACAGTCTACTTGAGAAAATTTTACTAGAAAAAATTCTACGCGGGTCAGGCAGCAGACGGGACCCGAACGCTCCGTTATCCAGGCGGATGCACTGACCATTATTCTACCGCGGCCCTAATTATCCATGTCGAATTTTCTCTAGTAGTTTCTTAGGCTGCAAGGCACCGCCATCTCTTCGCATGGTAGGTAACTCACAGTGTGAAATGAATACCTTTACAAGTATTAAACATTTGAAAAAAGAAAAAGCAATCATAGTTACATTTCTACTTTTTAAGCATTTAACTGCTAGATGTTTAATTTTAAAAATATGTTTTGAAGTGAAACTTTTTTATCGGCGTTGGAAAAAATTTACCGTCACATTTTTTCGGTTACGCGTCACGTTTTTTGGTTACGCGCCATCCTTTTTTTAAAAGATCACTATTTACCTCAACCGAACAATTGCTTCTTCAGTTTTTGAAAAATCTTAGCGCACGCCTATATATATATTTCTGGAAAGTTGCATGTAGATCATTTTTCGAAAAAAATAAGGCCATAAAGAAGTTTCATTTCTTACGGGTGTACACTAGTACACGCACACATTTTATTTTGTATTAGAAATGTATGTCGGTCTCACCTTGGTCTGCGAAGAGTTGTGGTAGGCTCGTAACTTGGCCACCAGGTCTGTGGCGTCGCGCGCCGCGTTCACGGCCAATGTTTTGGGAATAACCAACAGCGACTGCGCAAACGCTGCGATCGCCAACTGCTCGCGGGAACTCTGCACGAAAACGGAAGCTAAGCATTATCATTTCATTAAATAAAATAAATAAATAAATATTTCTAACACTCACACCAATTAGCCTAGCCCCAAAGTAAGCACTGTAAGGCTTGTGTTATGGGATACTAGGGTAACGGATAGAATACATATATTGTACATATATAAGCATATTTATATAGAGATACATTTTAAACATCCATGACTGGAGTACAAATGCTCGTATTCATCACACAAACATCTGCCCCCACCGGGATTCGAACCCGGGACCTCTCGAGTCGGCGACACCATGAAACCTGGCGTACAAACCACTCGACCGCGGAGGTCGTCCAAAAGTACTAAATATAAGGTAAAATTAAAAATATTAAAATATATTTGTTTCTTAGGTTTTCGCGCACATTATTAACAGCCTATTAATGTTCCCACTGCTGGAGCACATGCCTTCCCTATGGATGGAATAGGGAGATTGGGCCATGACCCACCACGCGAGCCCAGTGCGGATTGGTGGGTGAAGACTGCAGATGCAGCCAGGACCAACGGCTTAACGTGCTTTTTTAAGTTTCGTTTTTAATTAATGTAATATATTTAAATCAATTGTAAGTAATTTTATCTAATTTATGGTATTCAATTTGTTTTTATTTGAATGAATTTAATTTAATGCAATGTAACAGTTAATATCGATATATTGTTCTTTGTTTTATACAACGTTTTTTTTGTGTTGCATGTTAAGAGTTGCAATCTTGATAGATTCGTCAATATCTATATATATAAAACTCAAATGTGACTGACTGATATAGTGATCTATCAACGCACAGCCCAAACCACTGGACGGATCGGGCTGAAATTTGGCATGCAGGTAGATGTTATGACGTAGGCATCCGCTAAGAAAGGATTTTGATCAATTCTAGCCCTAAGGGGATAAAATAGGGAATGAAAGTTTGTATGAAACTTTGTCAATTTAAATCGATCTGGCTGAGACTTTGCATGCAGGTATAAGAAGAATCAGAGATGAATGTCATTGTGTTTAATACAAGCCTGAGAACAAAAACTGTAGTCTACACTTCAGTTCTACACCGAAGCGAAGCGAGGGCCGGTCGCTAGTTATTAATAAGTTAGTACTTTGTTGATTGTAATATGTTATGTATACCGAATAAATAAAATAAATTACCAGCGTGGTAGCGAAGTTCTCCAGGTATATAGAGAGCGCGGCCTCGACGGCGCCGCCGCCGGGCGCGAGGCGGCCGGACTCCAGCACGCGGCGCACGGCGCACAGCGCGTCATGCGCGGAACGCTCCATCTCGTCGCAGTACGCGTCCGTGGGGCCGCGCAGGATTATGGACGCGGCCGTGCGCGCTGAAGGCCTGCGCGACAATCGAAACCGCGACATTGGATCAAATATCTGTAAGTTGCCAGCTGACCCAGCGAACTTCGTACCGCCATAAAAAAATAGGGGTCGGTGGTAGAAAGTTGAAAATTTAGGGATGTATGTATTTTTATATGACGTATCATAAAAAAATTAAATAAAAAATGAAAAAATTGAAAAAAAAATAATTTAGGGTTGGATTACCCTAAACATTTAGGGGGATGAAAAATAGATGTTGTCCGATTCTCAGACCTACCCAATATGCACACAAAATTTCATGAGAATCGGGAAAGCCGTTTCGGAGGAGTTTAACCACAAACACCGCGACACGAGAATTTTATATATTAGATATTCCCGAATACAAATCTGTGAAAGGTTTCATTTTAATTTAAGTAAACTGGGTTTCATGGTGTCGCCGGCTCGAGATGTCCCGGGTTCGAATCCCGGTGGGGCAGATGTTTATGGGATGAATACTAGCATTTGTTTAATATGTATTTCTGAATAAATATACTCGTATATATACAGTATATGTATTCTATCCGTTACCCTAGTATCCCACAACACAAGCCTACAGTGCTTACTTTGGGGCTAGGCTAATTGGTGTGAGAGTTGGAAATATTTATTAATTTCCTATCATATTTGTTTGATGTAAAGTACGTAGTAGTAGTACTTGGTGGCACCAATGACCGACAAGAACCAACTATCGACATTCTGTGGCGTGATCAATATAAATAAAGGTAGGCAAAGATGGGTACGTCACCGAACGTCTATGACTATAAGGGAATACGCTGTCTTAAGCGGGAGCCCAGAGCAGACATCCGTCGCAGAGATCCGTTCCGTGCTCCGTCGCGGGACCCGTTCAACCAGTCGCGGGACCCATTCAACCAGTCGCGGGACCCATTCAACCAATCGCGGGACCCATTCTACCCGTCTCGGGATCAGTGAGAGGCGGGTGCCTTTCGCAGCGCCGCCAGTACAATTTTGATTGCACAGGTGAACAGCCGATAATGGATTATTTTTGTTGCTTATACTACCTAGTTCAAAGAGAATGGAGAAGACAGATAACCGCGGGGCGGGTCGATGTAACAAACACGCCGAGAGGACACAGCGGATCACAGAAAATACTGTCGATCACGTTTACACATAACGATACACGATTTACTAACTACTTTCTGTCATTCCTGGCGTTTTTAACGAGAGATATGACAAAATTAAACAGTATGACACATGCAACAATCTTGCAATTTTGTACTGTACTTGGTCTAGATAATGTGTATATGCGACGAAGATGAGATTTCGCAATTCAACCTAAATGTGAAATAAATCGCACCTTTAGAATTACAACGACGCAAGTGCAAAATAACGTTAAAATAAGTTAAGTATAAAAAACGTTGTTAAAAGTGACAAACTATCGTAAGGAACATTGACTCTTATGTAATTCCAATAAATGCCGCTAGATGGAAGTAGCGTCAAAGTCAAATTGAGCGAGATCCGAAAGCAACAACGCCTGATTGGTCAGTTTTTTATACTTAACTTATTTTAACGTTATTTTGCACTTGCGTCGTTGTAATTCTAATTGTTGTAACAATAGACAATTTCAAATTACTTATATTCATAAATTGTGATTCCAATGTAAAAATAATAGTACTTCTTTCATAGGTCCATATCTATTTGTATACCTTAATTAAGGTGGAAATGTAGTGATACTAACAAAAATTTTATATACCATGTATACTAACTTATGTTTCACAAATAAAATTCTGATTCTGATTCTTATTTAAGATAATGATAATTTGACGTTAAGTATTTTGTTTATATATAACAATACAATTTTTATTTATTACTAGCTGACCCGGCGAACTTCGTACCGCCTTAGCGTAGCTTTGATGCACTACTTTATTTTGTATAGCTGACCTATCTTATGTATGAGTACCTATATTTTTAGCGCGGTTATGGATGTGTTGTCACAGATTACCACAGATTTTTTTGTTTTAAATTGAATGACGTTGATATTTGTCAGCGCGGTTATCGATGTGGATTCACAGATTACCACAGATTTTTTGTTTTAAATTGAATGACGTTGACATTCTTTACGTTATATTTTTCAATCTTTCTGAGAGATTTTCTTTATATTTTTTTCCGTAAGAACCTTGTACAGAGTATTAGAAAACTACAAAAAAAAAAACAGCCAAATCGGTCAAGCCGTTTTCATGTTATGTCGTGACAACGGAAAACGGGTTTCATTTTTATATATATAGATTACGCGCAATTTAACTGATGTCGGACAAACTTGGACTTCGGCCCATATTTAAACCGAACATTCGGCCGACCCACATTCGATGCAATGCCAGTTTTTACTGGGACAGTAGGAGAGCAACTTGTCACCAAAAGATGCTATTCAATTTGATGGATTTGTAGCATTTGTTGATAGATTTTAACAATACCTTATCCATCCTGCTTCCTTTTTTTTCTTTTTGAACATGCGCTTCGCTGTAGCGTTTATCTGTTGGTACTGGAGGAAATTTTCAGTGGTCATGGCCCGATTGTACGTTTCCTCAGCTTGCTTCCTCCTCTCTTTGATTTCAGAGCATTCAGAGTCCCACCACGGGGGGTTAATTAGCTTTCGTTTTGTCTGTCGGACACTAGGAATTGATATTGTTAGCTGACCAGGTAACTTCTATAAAACAGTGGATGTTTCTTCGACTAATACCAAGTGGATGGAGAATTTCAAAAACTGTATTTGGCTCCATACCTACTTTGTGTAATGCTAATACAGCAATTTGTTTCAAAAATATCTAACACAGAAAACATAGTGAATATTCATATAACAATTACAAATTCCAAATTCAAATGTAAATATTACGTTTTTTTTGTAAAAATATTTATGGCCAGACTAACCGTAGTATTTATTATTTCTTAATTAAGAAGTTATTCAAAGTAAGAAATGCCAAAAATGAATATTCTTAAGCATTTTCGTTGCCAAGTAACCATTTGTTTTATCATTTTAATCTGTAATGATGGAATAGATATTGATAATTTATTTTAATTTTCAGACAATATCAATCAACAAAAAGTTGAAAATAAAACTTCCGTTAAAACGCCAATAAGTCCACAACAACTTCAGCATTTGCATAAGTAACACAAAAAAGTTCTTGTTTATCATCAGTGGGATTGAAGCCAGTAGTGACCAGTGGGAATGAAGCCAGTAGTGACCAGTGGGATTGAAGCCAGTAGTGACCAGATGGGTTGGAGCCAGTAGTGACCAGTGGGATTGAAGCCAGTAGTGACCAGTGGGATTGAAGCCAGTAGTGACCAGTGGAATTGAAGCCAGTAGTGACGACTGGGAACAACCCTTTGAATCGCGTACCCAGTATCAATCATATCTCAGAGATGGTACTGGTGTCTGAACTAAGTACTTGAGTTTATATATGAAAACCAGCGAGCGTATATGAAAAGAGTAATGAATGCGAATTAATCGAAATATGCGTCTACGGACCGTGTCTTATGGCGCTATATGACCGAAACAGAGTTATGAAACGCGACGCCACCCGACGCATATTGAGTCAAATGAAAATGTAGTACAGAAAATTTATGAAAACACAAATTATGAAGTTTTAAGTTGTCATAAAAATCATTCTCTTTTTCAAAACTCACCCTTTGATTAAGATGAGTTGGTCATCGCAAATTTGTTCTTGCACAACTTCAGCGGCTTCTCCAATCATGTTAGGTTCAAAAACTTCCTCACCTAAAACAGAAAATTACAATGAGTGTATATTTTCCCTTCATTACTGAGGTTTTATCAAAAAAGTTTATGGATTTTAGCTTAGATTAAAACAAAAAGGGATGATCAAAAGTGATCCGCTTTATATTGTGGTGTATGATCACAATAGGTTATTTGACAGTATTAAAAATAAAGTGCCAATTGTAAGCATCTGTGTTTAGAATGAATATTGGCAGGGGTTTTTACTATTTTTACAAAAAAAATATTCATAATTTTACTAAAAACCCACGAAAAAGATAATAGTTTTCTTATCTATTGTCACGTGACACAAAACGCTTGGGATTGGCGAAGCATAAAATGACACACGAAAGTAAACTTCCGGTTAAAGTGACATTACATTGTATCGTTTGACGTTTTAATAACAGTCGTGTGACGTCACACACCAGTAAGACGCCATTTTGTCCAGAAAATCTTTTTCGCGGCAACTTGAAAATGGAGTTTTTGATTTGTTTATTTTTACTGAAATGCACAACAGAATGATGAATATCCACTTTTTACGGACTCCATAAACATTAGTCAATAACGTGAGATCGTTTTCTAAAACTTGTCAAATACCCTATTTGCTGTATGACAATATTGCGTATATTCTGTGTTATAAAGATGACAATGCCTTCGATGTTTTTATAAAGAACACAAATAGTTCAAAATCAAATGCCTCGGCAACACTTCTCGTTCGTAAAACTGTAAAATGTTTTTTTTCTCAAAAATCATGGTTTGTCGTGAACATATGTTATTTACGTAATCGCCATTTTGTTATCAAGAGAAGGACAACAATACAGCTCAGCCGTTCGCATTCAGAAGCGGATTCGCCGTTTCTCTCTCTGCGTTGAAGCATACAGTTCTTGCTGTTTGAACATCAGTCAGCAGCCTTATTTTTTTTTACAGCACACACTGAGCGTAGTCGACTGGATAGGGTATCAATATGAGTATGCCATTGCAATCTTGAATCCTTGAATCATTTTCGCATTTATAAAATTAGTAATGGATAAAAATTGCACTCACCATCCATATTAGTGAGAGATGTAAGGAAAGTGGCCCCCGTTGCTTTAGCGATTCTCTTGAGATCAGCCTTCTTACACCGACGTACGCCCATAGCGCCTGCCTCAACGAAATACTTGAGGCACAGGTCGTCGATACCGCCCGAACACAATATTACGTTCACTCCGGTAGCGAGGATCTTCTGGAGACGCTCCTTTGTGATGTCCAGCTCTCTAGCACGGATGGCTTCAAGTTTCTCGGGGTCAGATACCAGCACCTGAGCGTTTATATTGTTATGAGAAGTAGATTAGCTAGCTAAGATGGTAGAGGTACTTATGCCAGTTTTTTTTTTGAAGTTATACTTCTTTAGGCGCATAATAAAAAAAATTATGAGTGGAATTTTAGGATGCGCGCGCATCACTGTAACACAAAAGTAACTCCATGAAGATGAAATCTAAAGAAAATTTTACTAGAAAAAAAATCCACGCGGACCAGGCAGCAGACGGGACTCGAACCCTTCGCTATCCGGGCGAATGCACTGACCATTATGCTACCGCGGCACTGACGGCCGTGTCGCATTTTTCTCTAGCCTTAGGCTGCAAGGCAGCGCCATCTGTTCGCATTGTAGGTAACCGACAATGCCAAATGAATACTTTTACAAGTATTATTTACAAGTATCAAACCTCGAAAAAAAGGTTACCAGCAAAATAGAAACTCCATGCACGCTCGTCGCCTCTGATCACTGTTTTCATATTTATAGTATTTATCCACATGTTTCTAGTTTCTATATTCACAACACGTGTTTTAGTTAATACAAGTGCGAATTATATAAGTGCTAATAAATTATATTCAGTAGTGATTTAAATTGAATATTTTCATTATTCATTTAATTTCTCAAATTAAAACTGAACTTTATTGACTGTGTTGACTATCCTTTTATTATAATTAATTATTTGCATGCAATTAAAAACTAATTTTTAATGAAGCCAAAGAAGTATCTCACGCGTGTACATAACTACAGGCACCCATTTTTTTTTCTTTATTTAAACAGTTTATAAGAGTGTAAAGTGCTTCTTTTTAATTTGACACATTATTACTATTATTTTAAATAATAAATGTGAATGGGATAGATGGGTAAAAGAACCCTTTTCTGGAGAGGTTTATAGTGGATGAGACGAAAGTTGATGATAATAACTTTTTATCATCAAATTTCTTTCAATCCCACAAAAGCCATAGATAAATAAAAGAGTTACAAACCTGAACACCCATTTTCATTTTTGTCTTCTGCAGTGAGAAATCTAAACAGGCGATCTTTGCATTTAGTATCTTCTTAGGCATGGCTTGTGAGGCAACGGTGCAGTTTAGAGCATAGCCTTTTATTAGCACACTTTCCCGGGCGCTTCGGCCATGAGCCTTTAATATATTTACTGCCTTAATTGGGTAGATTGTGTTGCCTCGGGGATCCATTGTCTTCACAGCCTGCGCTGCATCCACTATCATCTCGGAGAAAAAGTCAGAATCACTGTTAGGTGGTGTTGAGGAAACTACAGCAGTATAACCAAAGTAACAATAGCTCATGCAGGAAATACAACAACAGAAAACTATATAAATAAAACTAGTTTTTTACGGGTTAATGCACGAAACTTTATTTATTTATTGACATTTCGTAGCCTTTACAGGCTACGTCGTCGGAATCAAATTTTTGTCAAATCAAAATTTGAACTACTTTTATTTAATGAGTGATGAGCGTGAAAACCTAAGAAACAAATAGAAAACTATATGATTGTAGCCCAGTAACGCAGTCAATAAATATCAGCTTGAAGTCAAAATTTTCAGACAGATATAATAGTACGACCAAACTGTGGAATATGTTGTCCCCAGCAGTGTTTCTGGACCAACACGACCCAAAAACCTACAAAAAAAGAGTGTATTCCTTCCTTAAAGGCCGGCATCGCATTTGTGATACTTCTGGTGTTGCAAGTGTCCATGGGCGACGGAGATCACTTACCATCAGGTGAGCAGTCTGCTCGTATGCCAACTATAACATAAAAAAAAAAGTTAGATCACTATGAATATCATAGTGATCTTCTACTGTAACTTTAGGGAATGTCTAAGCAGTATGAAATAAATTCCGGGCTTTGTACTGTGATATTCATAAGGACTATAAAGTAAACCCTAATCTTTAGTATTGATTCATAGTAAAACTTGTTTACTGACCAGATAGTTGGTAAAACTATCATAGGCGATGTGCTAAGCAATGTTAAATCAGATGCATATTTATACTGTGAATATAATAAATGTTATCTCACACTAATACTGTTAAAAAGTGAAATTCCGGAATCTATGTAAAATGGTGGCTATAAAATATAGTGCCCAGACATCTCTTACACAAAACTACTTTTAGAAAAGGATACGCTCCAATAAGCTTTGAAGACATTGTGGTCTTAGCAGCATTGATGATAGACGGCCTGCCTAATGACTCCACCGAGACAGTGAGGTTGTCTTGTACATATTTGACGGCTTCCTTGCATGCTAGTCTGTATCCTGAGATGATGCTAGTAGGGTGAATCTTATTTTTAACCAGTTCATCTGCACTCTGATAACAAAACATACACAGTTAAATCAAATACTTTTTACAGCTACATTGTCATAGACATTGAATTTATATAACTTGACATGAAATTTATTTAAAGAAGCAAGACCGTAATTAAAGTTTTCTTGCTGTCAAATCGGCCAGACATATGGTGCCACTAGTTTAAGTCCACGTATGTTGTTGTTTGCCTAAGCAACTATATCTGAAAGCTCCAACCAATAAAAAGCACATAAATTGGTACAATTATTACCTTCAGTAACTCAGCAGCGATGATAACTACAGATGTTGTGCCATCTCCCACCTCCTCATCCTGAAGCTGTGCCAGTTCAACCAGAACTTTGGCAGCAGGGTGCTCTACTTCCAACATTCTGTCAATAAACAAAAATTAGTAATTATTGATGCACAAAACAAAAATTAGTAATTATTACAAAAATTAAAACAAGTTAATGTAACATCATATTTTTATAGCAAGATTATTTGCTATCACTATTTCCTTTGATTCAGTGTACACTAGTATTGATTCCAAGGATGTTTTGTACATGTTATCTTGAGAAAAAAAAATTGGATCAAAATTTCATCATCATTAACATCCAGCTATAAAGTACTTTGTGTTGAAGAAAAGACATAGGGATAAAGAACAAATCTGTACAGACATTACAACAAATGAAAAACTCAAACTACTGTACTAAATTTCATGATACGAAGGGTGTCTATTCTGGCATGATTCTCTAAACCTAAACTTAAATTTGAAAACAGTGCATCCTTGTCATTCTCTATAGCGCATGAAAAGGAGAGACTGATGTTAAATTTCGTTTTAAGTTTAGAGAATCATGCCAGAATTGACACCAATGTTTTGTTTAAAAATAAGATGAATAGGTGCGAATAAAAGACAAAAATTGATTTTGGATTCATAATCTGTATTTCATACTCACTTTAGGATAGTAGCACCATCATTGGTCACAGTAACATCACCAATGTCATCTACCAGCATTTTATCCAGTCCCACAGGGCCTAGGGAACTCTTCACTATATTGGCAATAGCAGCAGCAGCCATGACTAAAATTATAGAATATAAATATTCAGTTTTAGATGGTCATTTTATTGTTCATATAATTTTCATATTATATATAAAATGCATTCAAGTCTGCATAGAATTTATAATGCATATTTTAATGTCTAGGCAACAAAGAGTAGCTTTTTTGTACTTTTTACATAGGTTACAAATATAGTTTTCACAACTTATAAAGATTTAACCAAGTTAACACTAAAATTTATCACCTAAACATTAACTTCCTAAACAGGTATTTTGTTTAAAGTAGTACATTAAGGAAATATTCGTAAAATTATAACCATAATGCAATGATACATGTGATCACGCCGGGGCCAATATGCATTTAGATTTTAGCAGAAATCTTACCATTTTGTGTTCTGACTGATTGGCCAGATGATCTGGTGCCAGCGACATGTAATGGTGCAGCAAGAGTAGACATTTTTTAATTCAATTTTATTAGAATATTCACAAAATAATCAGCAGTCACACTTTTTGATTCTGGAAGATGGTTTTTTTTAAGTTACCACAGAGAAAAAAAAATTGACAGCAGAGGCGTAGAATTTTTATTGCCAGTTACAAAATATATAAACTAGCAATGGGGTATCGATTAATGAAGCGAATATTTTGTTGACAAGAACATACCGCTACGATATATTTTTCGTATTTAAGTTTATCCCACTTCTTGTTATTCAGGTAATGTATTCCACCTGTTCTAAATTGTCATTTAAAAATATTGATACCCAATGTTAAAAGAACATTATCTCCATTGTTTGAGCTACCTACGAGCAGCATTTATATTTTTTTACTTTTGCTAAAATTGATCTTTTCAATTCAGATTTTTTTAAAAACCCTCAAAGGTTGTTCAAGAAGAAAAGCAAAAGCAAACCCTTAGGGCAAACCTGTCTGAATGCAAGTTTCCGTTTAATTTACTTATTTTAGAAGTTCCCGTACTCTGTATGATATATTTAAGAAGCGCCATCTAGTGTAAAAAGCAGCTCACCATGATAACTTCATGTGAATGAAGTTTACGTTTGCCGCCATTAAATTTCGAACTCACACGCCAAGGCACTTATGCACTTAATGTACAATGAATTTTCGCCTTCGTTAGCTGGAAATTATTTATTCTTTATAGATCTACTGAAGGCGTATATTTTCCTGATAGCACATACTTATTCCTGTGCCAATACCATCTCTTCTATTACTAAGTAGTAGTCGTAGTATGTAAAATGTAGATACATCAGTTCAGGGGTGGCTTTAGCCATTGCTGGGCCGCGGGCGACAGGACTTTGCGGGACCCTATTTACCCAACTTCGCCAAAAATATAGTTAGGTTTTTTAAAAGTAGTTATATTTCTTTGACTCGGTAGTCTAAACGGTTTGATGGGTTTTGGCTTGAGAGGTGTAATTAAAATCTTCTTAGTTGTGCCAGGGACACTCGTTAATTAAAATTATGAAAAAATAATAAGATGTAGCATAAAAATAAAAATGATCCTCAAACCGGAAAAGCTTTCGAAAATGAGTCTTCCTGTAAGAATAAGATTTAAGTAAACTTGCTTGCTTTACAGGGCTCTTGCAAGGCCTCTAGGGAAGGTGCTAGACGAAATAATAATACAAGATTTCAGATTTTTACTTCAGACATTCCCATCAGGGGCGTAGCTACTGCCGTATCAATGATACGGGGCCCCCGGGCCATGAGGGACCCCTACATGCGTAAGCAAAAATTAATAAAAACTTCCCAAATATATTTTTTTAAACTTCCCAAACTTCAAAATGAGTAATCAGAAAATGAGAGAATTTCAGACCCAGAATCCCATTTCAAAATCAATAAAAATTCAAAGTAAATTATTGTTATAAATTTTTATTATTTTTAAAGCATGTAACTGCTTGATGTTTAAATCTAAAGAAAATATAACTAGAAAAAAATCCACGCGGACCAGGCAGCAGACGGGACTCGAACCCGCACCCTTCGCAATCCGGGCGAATGCACTGACCAATTATGCTACCGCGGCCCTCACGGACCGCGTCGAAATTCTTCTAGCCACTCTTAAGCTGCAAGGCAGCGCCATCTCTTCGCATTATAGGTAACCCACAATGTCAAATGAATACTTTTACAAGTATTAAACAATTGAAAGAAGAAATAGCAATTATAGTTATAAATTTTTATTATTTTTAAAGAATGTAACTGCTTGATGTTTAAATCTAAAGAAAATATAACTAGAAAAAAATCCACGCGGACCAGGCAGCAGACGGGACTCGAACCCGCACCCTTCGCAATCCGGGCGAATGCACTGACCAATTATGCTACCGCGGCCCTCACGGACCGCGTCGAAATTCTTCTAGCCACTCTTAAGCTGCAAGGCAGCGCCATCTCTTCGCATTATAGGTAACCCACAATGTCAAATGAATACTTTTACAAGTATTAAACATTTGAAAGAAGAAATAGCAATTATAGTTATAAATTTTTATTATTTTTAAAGCATGTAACTGCTTGATGTTTAAATCTAAAGAAAATATAACTAGAAAAAAAATCCACGCGGACCAGGCAGCAGACGGGACTCGAACCCGCACCCTTCGCAATCCGGGCGAATGCACTGACCAATTATGCTATAATATTGCTGTTTACATACATATATTAATTTTTAAAACTAAATAATGATTTCAGAGCCTTTGCGACCTGAGATACTATTCAGACCGTCTGAACCTGCAGTGAAACGTATCAATCTGACTGCGATTATGAACTCCTTTAATTAGGTTTATTTGCCTTATATACTAGGGAGAGATGAGTGTGTAGGTAGGTATATTTAATTTGAATTGTTTGTAAAAAATTTGGAAAACGTGACAGATAGATAATTATGATGAATATATAAATATTTCTTTTAATTTTATGCAAACAAATTTTTATACGCTACGCCACTGATTCCCATAAAATTTTACGGTTGATGCAGCAGCATTAACTACCCAAGAAGATCTGGCTCCAGCCACGTGTATTCTTTAACGTTCTTTAAACAACATCTTATATTCTGACGAAAAAGTTTACTAGAAAAAAAATCCACGCGGACCAGGCAGCGGACGGGACTCGAACCCGCACCCTTCGCAATCCGGGCGCATGCACTGACCATTATGCTACCCATTCACCGCGTCGAAATTTTCCTAGCCTTAAGCTGCAAGGCAGCGCCATCTCTTCGCATTGTAGGAAACCCACAATGTCAAATGAATACTTTTTCAAGTATTAAACATTTGAAAGAAGAAATAGCAATTATAGTTGTTTTTATTTATTTTTAAGCATTTAACTGCTAGATGTTTAAAGAAAAGTTAACTAGAAAAAAGAAATGGATTGCGAAGGGTGCGGTTAATGTGTTCGAGTCCCGTCCGCTGCCTGGTCCGCGTGTTTTTTTTTTGGAGTTTACTCCTTAAGAATCGATTTGCATATATAAGGGGCCCGGTATGAGAAAAATGTGAGGAGTGAAATCTATCGATGAATGACCTCGTTACGTTTTTACTGTCTACGCTGTAGCAGCCGTAGTGCTACACCGTAGCACAGTATCGTAGCGTACCTTTATTTATGCACATCTGAAATTGACTATTGTAAAAAGTTTAATGTACCTAAAATATTTCGTCGTTTAGTTATAATAAATGTATATATAATGAATAAATATATATTGATATATGTATATTATTTTCGTTAATTTGTTAATTTACCCTTTCATACAGTATCAATCTTTTTTAAGTTAAATAAACTCTTTTTGAGTCTGGTTAGACTATCGAACTTAAGAAGTAAACTCGAGTCGTGCATCGGAGCTGACACACACAATTTTTTTTTCTAGTAAACTTTTCTTTAGATTTAAACATCTAGCAATTAAATGCTTAAAAATAAATAAAAACAATCTTATATGCTGTTTAATATTTTAAGAGGGTTCGAGAGCTTATATGGACAGTTCTACATCTCAACACAGAAACTTTCTCCGACACTATAGCGAAGATATCTCAGACTCTCAACCTTGGAGGATGGAAACATGCGCACTCATCATCATCATCATCAGCCTATTAATGTCCCCACTGCTGGGGCACAGGCCTTCCCTATGGATGGAATAGGGAGACATGCGCACTACTACGAGTAAAATTAGTGTAATCTCGAAGAGCGAATCACACAAGTTTAATTCATGTATTTAGTAGGTACTCAAATTCGGATTTACACACATCAAAAGTGTCTAGGGATCAAGCATTTTTATGCGGATTTCTTGAGATTGAGATGTGGCTTTGTAATAAATTTATGATTTTATAAATTTATATGGATCCTTTTTGGTGCATTTCATAATTTGAATCAGGAACTGTGAATCAAATTCGAGTAAAAGATGAAAATCAGCTGTCAATATTTTCCCTATAAAAACATACAACGCATTGAAGACATTATTAGTGCTACTGTTTCCCTACTACTGATTAAAACCAACGTTATTATGGAGCGGCGACGTCATTTAAGCAGGGAAGAAATGCTCAGAGCCGTGGGAATGATAGAAGCTGGTTCCCGGCAACGTACTGTGGCTTTAGCTCTGAATACAAGTCAGAGTGTTATCAGTCGACTTTGGACACGATACCGAAGCACTGGTACCGTGGCTGAGCGCCATGGAGGACGGTATCGCTGCACCACACGGAGACAAGACCGATACATTCAAATCTTAACTCGAAGAGCTCCAATAATAACCGCCATGATGTTAGCCGTGAGGCTTCATCACTCTTCAGGGAACTTAATTAGCGACCAAACAGTCAGAAACCGCTTGCATGAAGTGAACCTTCATTCCCGAAGACCGCTACGGGTACCACCTATAGCAATGCACAATCGTAGGATTCGATATCAATGGGCTCTTGAACACAGAAATTGGGCAGAAGAACAATGGCGTTTCGTGTGCTTTTCTGATGAGTCTCGTTTTGGTATGAGACCGGATACAAGACGTATACGACACTGGAGAACCCCTGGACGCCAACAGCGATTAAAATCCTGCCAGGAAGTCCATCCTTATAGTGGTGGAACCATCATGGTATGGGCGGGTATTTGGATCGGCGGAAGAACTGAGTTGATTTGGATCAGAGGCAACCTCAACGCTCAAATTTATGCTGAGACGATTGTATCAGACGTCATCGTTCCTCTACAAGTGCAAATCGGTCCCTTATTTCAGTTAATGCATGATAATGCACGACCGCACACCGCAAGAGTTGTAAGACAGACTCTCGCCGCAGCTAACATCAATGTCCTGCCCTGGCCTGCTCAGTCGCCAGACTTGAACCCGATTGAGCATGCATGGGATATGCTACAGAGAAGAGCTCTGCCGAATATGGAGGGTATCCAGTCGCAAGAAGACCTTTTTTTGTTGTTGCAACGAACATGGGCGGCCATTCCACAGCGTGATTTGGATGAACTCATTTTGAGTATGCCAAACCGATGTTCTTGTGTTGTTAGTGTTCGCGGTAGAAATATGGATTATTAATTGTTTAAGTTACCCAATAAAATTTTAGAG